CTCTGTCCACTCGGGGACCGGAGATTTAGAACAGGAGCATGATAGAATGACTTCTCTAACCTTGATGTTGGACGAACCGATCACGTATGACAAACTTTCCTCATATGTTATGGCTTGCAGAGAATTATAGGTCAATTTAGGCTCGGTCAGTGAGACGACCCTCGTCAACAACCTCTATTCCACCATCCTTCCTCTTTAGAAGTTGACCTTTGCGATTTTTCTTGCAAGGAGAGCAGACTCTATATTGCAATGATGTGTGCTCGTAGTGTGGTCAGTCCTCATGTTGTGCTGGATGGGCACTCATGTGTAGTGATGCTTGCAGGGCCCATCCTGTGACTCTGGGGCATATGGACTCTACTGCTCATTTCCCTGGGGCATTATTGCCATGCTGATTTACTACCAGTGAAGGACAATCATCAGAGACCAAATTATACCCCAATCACAGTGTGTGAGTGTTTGTTCATGGTCTTTAGGTTAAAGCAATGAAGGGTGAAAACCTCTATAGACAATCAATTACCTTACAATTAGTATGGTTTTAACTATAATTTCTTATTTTAGTAGGTTGCTTTAAAATATACACATCCAAACGCAAATAAATTGGGAAATGAGTCCATGCATGGTCATATTTGTCCATGTCGCACTGACAGCTTTTGACATATTGCACCGTATTTAAGAAATGGGATTCTCGTTGTTTGGAAGTGAGAACCACTTATCTTTAACATTAAAGGTAATAGATCTCCAGGGTGAGATTTTTATCGACATTTCTCATTACCAACCTATTGGTGTTTATAGCGACGGTCATAAATGGCTCCCTGTGGTGCTGTGTTTTATGAAGAGATCAGCTGTCAGGACATATGCGTTCGAATCTCTGCAGTATGCAATGACACTGGTCAAGTTTAAAGACCTGAGAGAGGAAAGAGAGAGAGAGTACATCACTATACAGGAAACCAGGACAGACTAGATCTAACTGTAAGAAGTAAAAGTCAAAATAAAAACTGATAATTAATATACACATACACACACACACACACACACATTATATATATTTGATATTTTATATATTATATTTTCCGTATTGATCTTGATGTTTCATCTGTATTTTGAGTAACGGAAATTAATAGATAATGTCCTGCCATTACATTTTCCATTTCTGTATAATCAACTATACACTGTGGGTAGATTTCAATCAAAAGGTTGTGTTCCCCAAACAGGGTATTTTCCAAAAATGCCAGATTGAAGCAGTATGTGTTTAATATGTTGTAACTTTACTTTAAATAAATGTCATTAATTGAATTCATCTTGGCCAAATCAATAATCATATCAATAATAATACTTTTTCATCTCTTCCTGTCTCATTAATTATTTTGTGTTTCATAGTTGTTGAAAATGCATATATATTGTAGAAGACTGCTGTATATCTTAAAGTATACAGTGCATAGCATTTCTCATTTTACTGAAAGGTATCTGTCTTGAATCGGTGTCACTAAACACTACAGCACATGTTCCAACTGTGACAACTTACCCCATATAGTCTGAACACATGCCCTGCTATAAGGTAGATTTCTATATAGTGTGCTAAATGAATTTTATGGCAATAATGGTGGACATTTTCAATAGCATCTTGTAGTCTGCAAGACTACATTGTGAGGATCAAGTTCCTCAGACAAATAATAAAATATCTGTTAAGACCTCATTAATAAAAATTTTTTAAAAAAGGTTAATGAATGGGACGAATAATGATTTAATTAAAATTCCAAAAAGCATTGGGTAGCAGCTGTAATTGTAATTAATCTGTTGGAGGTGTCTCTTGTTAACAAACTGGACCATCCAGGGCAATTTCTCACTCAAATGGTTTGCTAAACTAATAAATGAATGTCTTACCCACCCAGCAAACACAGTTCACAGAATGCTAAATGAAACGAGCAAAAACCATTAAATATAAATGCCTGACAGCAATGCGTGTTTGTAGGCCTACAGTATAAACCTCAAAATATTCCGCTCAAATAATCAAAACAAATAACTCTCAGGAAGTTGAAACTTAATTTGAACCAAGTTAAATTTAGTTTAAAGGGCCTTTGGGCATATTTAAGTTTATTAATCAAATCTATTCTCAAAACTATTTTATATTTCTTGCTGTTAGCTGTACATTTATACAAAACACTGCTACTTACATCAAAGGCCTAAACAACATTTGCAATGCTTGTCATTGTGTCGGCTTTGTGGGTGGTTGACAAGTTACTAAGCAGTTGCTAGGGCGTTCTGGGTGGATATCTAATGGGTCAAAAAGAGGTTGCGCACTAATGTACGAGTAGTAGTAATGGACATACTTGCCTTAGTAAACAACAGCACTACGAGTCCGTGTCACATTCCTAGAGAACACCTAGTGTAGTCATTGATCAGCCAATCAGCGCTCAGTACACATCCACCGCTGACAGAAGCACGCAGCAAAACAACGCGAGATCTTCAGGGGCGAGAGAGATTCAGCGAGAGTAGAGGAACTAGTGGTGGAAATTTTGATTCTTTCAAGAGATTCGTTCATTTTCAGTTCGTTCACTAAAATGATTCGTTCAGATTCGTTCACTGATTCGTTCAGTGACCATTTCTTCATATTACATAAATACGCCAGCAGGTGGCGAAAAAGAGTGTCTTATCTGTTATGTCTTAAGTCAACGAACGTATTCACTTATTACAAAAAACTGATTTGGCTTTATTAAAATGTGTGCATAATCTACTCATTAAATAAATAAAGTCTAAATAAATTGTTCAGATGACCAAAGCACAAGGTTTTCTTGCATATTTAACATTTTAATTGTTTGGTCAGACATTTAAACATTCATAAATCGGGGATTAAACGTTGAGTTATGTTCTGTATGCTAAATATTAATATATAAACAAGTTTATTTGCAAAGTACCTATACCTGCGCTTTGCATCCGCTTTCTGCTGATTGTTGATCGAGATTGACATGCTTAATGGCCGACTGACCCGGTACACTCTTTCATTTCGTTCACGAACGAGATATGTACCAGTTCATTCAACTCGTTCACGAACGAGATATGTACCAGTTCAGTCATTTCATTCACGAACGAGATATGTACCAGTTCAGTCATTTCATTCACGAACGAGATATGTACCAGTTCAGTCATTTCATTCACGAACGAGAAGATCTCTCGATCTCCTTCAGACTCAAAAGAAACTCGTTCAGTGAAGGGCGTATCCGTTCACTACATTCAACAAATCACATGCTCCGTCACATCTCA